CGTGCTTAATTTCATCCAATAAAATTTTTAAATTTTCAAAGTTTTTATTTAAACTTCGAATATTGATATTTAAAATTGAAAAAGTGTTTTTAATTTGTCCTAGATATTGCGAAGATTCAGAAACTGAGTAGTATTGACATTCTAGCATTTTGTGATTAAAATAATTAGAGTCGGTGTCATTATCACCGATGATGTCATTTTCATTAGAAGATTTAAATATGACATTTTCCTCCATTTTTAAAACAGTTTAATTAAATATGCATAGTAATAATAAAAATAAAATTGCGTTAATTAATGCCAAATATTATGATAATAAATTTTTTCTTTTCTTTGCAACCCAATCGCGAATTATCAATTTATCATAAGATATGAAGGCAAACTTACCAGCGGCTCGTTCAATTTTCATTTTCTCCCTCAAATTTTTTCTGATTTGTGTTGTTTCAAAACAGAAGTCTTCGTTTATATAAATGTTTTTCCCTTTTAGCTTACTCGACTTGCTCAAGATCGCGACTTTATCTCTAAAATCTAAAAGTTTTATCACTATTTCCCCTTGGCATTTTTAATTTTTTGTTTCCAGTTCTATGGGCCCGTTCAATTAGGACATTTTTAACTGATAATATATCTTCAAAAATTAGCTTCATTTCGCTTTCTTCCCAGCTTTCACCTTCATTTTCATCAATTCCATCTACTCTTAAATTGTTACGTCTAATGAAGTTCATTGCACAAGTAGAAGGGCCAATTATAAAAACTTGCTATAACTTATACCACTTTTCAGGGGGTCTACATGAAAAAATCATGAACAATGAGTAATAATACTGTAAATAGAGCACATTATGTCTTTATTTTAGTTTAGTCTCCAGATCTAAGTTATAACTGCAAATGCTGAAAATTTCAGCTCCGTATCTAAAACCGATCTGGAAATATCTTGTTCCACGTAAAGGTAAATAGCAAAAAATGACATATTGAGAAAACAGCATTCTAAAAATATGAAGATAAAAAACAGTCTAAAAACTTCCAGAAGCGATTTTTTAGCTTCAAGTTCTAGTTCTTTATCAAACCAGCCTTTAGATAATCCCCTTAATTGAATTCTTCTTTTTTTAATAAAATTTTTTTCTTTTTTCTCCATATTACTAACACAACGCTTGTCCTTTTTCAATGAACCGGTTACAGTCTTACCACTGTGTGGTATATTTAGATACTCAAAAACGCGTTTAAGACCAGATGTTCCTTCATTAAAACTCAATATAGCTAAATTCACTCCAATTTTAAGGGTAGCTTTCTTCACAAACACATTTTTGGGACACCTAGACGTTTAAATCTTAAAATACACCTTTTGTTTTATAAAAAGAGGTTTTGAATGAAATATAATTTTTTTGAGCAGTCAATAGAGTATTGTTTGATACAGCTGGTAATTATTCTTCCCGTATTACATACAGTAATAGTAGAAGAATGAATGGACCAGTTGCAATTATTGAGAGATGCAAATAATTTGTCTAGCATCTGGACACTACGTTAAAAAAACCCCAAGCTGAAAAATAAAAAAAACACGACGGGCAATGTTGCAAAAAAGTATAAAAACAATACACTCAAAACGGTATACAATAACTGGAATAAAGTATTTGCTATATGAATAAACAAAATAGCAGAAGCGAATTTTTTTAAATTTTAGATAAATAGACTATAAGTACCATATTAATAATATTATTAAAATAAAGATAATACATTGAAACACCTTAGCTGGATATAAATAAACTATGATCAAAGCTCCTGAGCAAACCATGTAAAACCTGAATAGACCTAACATTTGAACATGCAATTGGACATGTGGTTTGACCGTGTCGAATATCGTAATCCTTTTTTTTTTTTAAATGGTCCCGTCCTCATTTACTAAGTCAAGAAATATTTGTTGCATGGATTTAATATCCCTGTTTATGATGAAACCATCTTGAACTGTTTGTATATTTTCATATTGTTCTTTTGAAAGGTGACAAGGATCACAATATAAACCTCCACGGCCTTGATAAATTTTTGAAGCCTCTCTGTCTAAACTATGAGCGACAATGTTTACTTTAACATGGTAATCATTTTGATTATGCTTAACAATAATTCCGTCATCCTTCATACACTGTATGTCTTCGTTAAATAAAGAAAGAGATTGGATATTTTCATTTGACTCTTTCCCCATTTGAATCATAAGTGGCCTTTAAGTAGACTCTGAGTTAGAGTATTGCTGTTCCCACAATTTAATACTTTCATGATTTAAAATTTTAAGTGGACAAAACATTGCCATAATAATGTTGCTTGTGTTAACATTGTACAGTTGGTTGTAAATTTTGTGTTCATCACTTCCATCGTAGCCGAATTTTACTTCTAGTGTAAGGCTGTTTTCTCTAGAAGAAATGTATATACCTTCTAGGCTCAAAATTCTCTCAATTGTAATCTTGGTAGATTCAATAAAATTTGCATAGACACCAGCAAAAGGATCTGGAAGATAACTTGTTGTCAATGGAGTGATAGAATTTCGGAACAATTGAATTTCATTCCAGGTTGGAAATACATCTATACTGTTTGCTTTTAGCATTTTTCTCTGCTGAGTATAAGTCATTCGACCTAAATTTGACTCATAACAAATAGCAGCCGCTGTCACTGTCGGTATTTTCAACTTTAATGTTTTATTTTTTGCTTCACATCTTGTTAAAAGAAATTCACACACACTTTTAACATCCATTGTTTCATTTTTAGCGAAATCTTATAAATAATGATAAAACATATATATATATATATATATATATATATATATATATATATATATATATATATATATATATATATATATATATATATATATATATATATATATATATATATATATATATATATATATATATATATCTACTATAGCATATTTATATGCGCAATTGCTCACTTTTTTTGCTAGCCTAAATTAAGTGAGCGTTTTTAGAAAACGATGAGGGAAAACGAAAAATAATGAATGAAAAGGTTGCTGATCCATACCAAACCCTCACTGGATGTAGCAGCACTCCACTGCGAGTCAGGCTAATTTTCAGTCGATGTATGTACTGAATCCCCCCGGCAGCAGGCTGTATATATATATATATATATATATATATATATATATATATATATATATATATATATATATATATATATATATATATATATATATATATATATATATATATACATATATATTATATGCAACTAATTATAATACCTGCACATTTTCCCATAGCTTTTGTGATCTTTTTAACTGATGTTTCCTTGATAGTGCTGACTAATGTTTTATCATCCTATACGGACTGGTTTCATCATTCTTATCAGCAGGTTCAAAGACTGAGCTACTTTCTTTAGTTTTTGGACTTATTCTTATAATGACTTCTTTTGATCCATATTTTAAAAAAGCAATTTTTTCTAATTTTAACTTTTTTAATTTTCTTTCTTTCAAATGTTGAAATTTTCGCAAAATACTTTTTAGTATTCCAACTTCATTTTCTTTTGACCTAGCTTGCGTTTCATTTTCTACTATGGTAGTCAAATTAGATACATGAGTGACATTGTTGTCAATTATTAAAGTAAATAATTGATGCTCTGTTAAGCAATATTTTTCAATGGTTGCCATATTTTATTGTTTTTGTTATTATTATTTATTTTTTTCAAATATTTTACTGTGCTTTTAATTGTTTATAATTAATTTTACTTTTTTATTTCAAAATAATGTTACCATAAAAGTATTTACTCTATTTTTATAAGTTTAAATGATCATACAAATAAAAATATGAATTTTGATGGTAGAAATAAATTGTTTTATAATAATTGCCTGGTATCTGATTGTTTCCTAATTGTGAGATTGGATTTCTCCGATGCGTTCAATTACCACAATTAGTTTGCTGATGACGGACTTAACTGCTTAACTACTTAAACGTGCTTTTAATTTAAAAGTTTTTAGTCTTCAAATCTTCGTATTTAAAACCACAACAAGATCATCGAACTTTTAAAATTTGACATATAATAGAAAAAATGTTTCGTTTATTTAAAAACATTATGGGGCCCTAGATTTATCGCTTTAGATGTATGGAAATCAAAAACACATGTAACATCGTAAATTAACTTTATTTTATTAGACAATAACTTAAATCAAACATTTTGGTGTCCTACAGTTATTATATAATTTTTTAATTCATGAAGCTTAAAAAAATGTTTCAAAAATATATTGCGACTTATAATTATTTTAGAAAAGTTAATGACTTTCTATTTTAGTGTCTTTTTTTATGTTTTTCAGTGTGTGTTCTTTGTGTACTTTATATATTTTATGATTTTGTTAAAATTTTTTAGCGTTATATTTTTTTATCCTGACGTGAAAACATGTATTTAGACTTTGTATAAGAAACCTGTATTATATCTTGTAAACCATGCTTTTAAGTGCCCTTTAGGTGTCCTAGAGTCTATAGCGCAATCATGGTTTTGAACATAAGAGTATTTTTAATGGATAAAGCTTGAAAGGTTACCCTTAAAACATGAATTTTGACTATGTATACCTATCTGAAAAAATGTTATCACTGACTTTTTTTATGGTATTTTGCAGTGTTTTATTTTGGTGTCCTAGAGTTATGGTATGCCCTCAGGAGTGTTATTTAATGATGGAACTTCAAAAATTAAGTTAAAAACATATATCATGACCATGTTTTATTTTTCCATGTCGCACAAACAGATTTTTCCTAAGTATAGTCAAATGTCCACAAAAAGTGCAAAATAAACCACTGTGTGTAGCACATTTTTTCTCATAACACTTTTAATTTAGCATGTTCTTAATACAAATATATTGTAATATGAAATTTATACAAAACTGTAATACGAAAATGTTTATACGGGATAATAAATAATAAAATAACGCGTAATAGGTTTTGATAAGGTGCAAGTTTATGACGTATTTTATTAACAACTATGAGCAATTCCCTTTTATGAAACTAACATTTCCGTAAAAATAACTTAAGTAGAATCGTGACATCAAATTACGTAATTTCTGAATATTTTTGAATAAATTTTTTCCAGATATCGACCTTCATACATCTTATATAACTATGTCGTTCTACTACATATACAACGTTTTAATTATTACACTTGTCTTGAATTTTCAACCACATGGTGAGTTCAATATAGATATGTATTGCATATTACAAAATTATAGCTGCAGAATTTGGTTTTCACTGTTCTAATATGTTTAAATAAATTTAATAAAATTATTCATGTTAAAAATGTATTTTTTTTTTCAAATACTTCTTTGATATTGAAATATAAGACCAAGTTATTGTAATGTTTTGTGATATTAATATGCTATTAATAAAAGTATATGCTTTAAGTAAAGTATTTTAACAAATTTTAAATTTCAGTTTTGTTTTGACTGTTTGAAATTTTTAATAAAATTTTTAATCTTCCCACAGAAAAAAAAAAAAAAAAAAAAATGGTTTTCAAGATTATGTTATAATAAGTATAATCAAAAATTTTGATTATACTTATTACAATAATAATTATTATTATATCATTTTGACAAAATCGTTTTGTATTATGCAAAACAAATTTAGTACAAAGATAACAAACCTTTAGAGAAAGCAGGAAATAAAAAAAGAATAGAAACAGGTTATTATTAAATTTTAATTTTTGTAGATTGTCTTGAATGGCTGCAAAGTCCACCATCCTTACAAAATGTAAAAGTTAATGTTTCAGGATCAGTGACACTCTCATGGCAGTACCAGATAACATCAAATGATTTAATCAGCCATAGTAACTCAATACGTATTAAATGTGGTTATATTATTGATGCTGATCTAATTGAGTTAACAAAACGAATTGGAGATACCGGGCTTATGACAGTTTCTACTTCCACTGAGTTTGATTCACGAATCGAAGTTGTTCCTTATGACAACAATAGAACTGTTGGTTTTAAAATAGTTAACATCCAAAAAAATGATTCCAAGCAATACCGCTGCGCAGCAACCGTTTCTCAAGTAAATGAACCTCCCAATATATTTTCAAGTGGCATTATAACAATAAAAGTGTTAGGTTTGTTATTTTATTGTTGTTATTACTTTTGCAGTTAAAATATTTCTAATAATTTAGATGTTTAAACAAAATTTTTATTATTAAATTAGTCATATTATTTGCATTTTTTAATTGTTTTTTAATTATAGGAAAGTGAGAATTCTTTGTATTAAAATTTTACATCCATTTTTAAGTATAGACAATATCATTAAGATTATTTTAATCATTAAGATTAAAATATTTAATTTTAATGTTAAAGTTTAGTTTTATGATTTCAAAAGACTAAAAAAATTCACTGATATTTATTAGCTGGAAAATGTCATATGAAACTGAGTTTATTTGTATCTAATATTAAGTTTTAAAAATCACAATCATAAAATAAAATTCCTTTTAATTTTCATTTTATATTATTGCAGTGTAGCAGTTTGTTACTTTTTATTTAATTTTTAAAAAGTTTTAATATCAGCATATATGCTCATATATGCTTGAAATCTTTAACATTGCAAATGATCAACCCTCGAGGGTTCCTCAAGATTCAATTCTTGGCCCTTTAGTCTTTTTAATTTACATTAATGATCTTCCAGATATTCTCACATCTAAGATGGCATTGTTCGCTGATGATACTACCATTTATTATTTTATTCATCTGCTAAATTTACCATTTATACTACCATTTATTCATCTGCTAAAGGTGCATCTCTTTATTGAGCTCGACACTTTCTTACTCCGGATGCTATTCTCTATCTCTATAAATCTCAAATCTTGCCTTATATAGAATACTGTTGCCATATCTGGGGCAGATCTTCTAATGATGTCCTTTCTATTTTAGACAAGGTGCAAAAGCGCGTGGTAAACATAGTTGGACCTGCTCTTGCAGTCAACCTCCAACCATTATTACATCGTAATATTGTTTTCTTTCTCTTTTCTACAAATACTATAATGTGCAATGCTCTAAAGTGCTAGCGTCTCTTGTGCCATCTACTAAAGCTAGCGTCTCTTGTGCCATCTACTAAAATTTATTATTGTGTTACTCGTCATTCAATTAAGTCTTATCCTTTTTCTGTGGCTGTTCCTAAGTGCTCCAAAAACTCTTGTTCCTCTAGTTTTTTTCCTTGTGCATCATTATTTTGGAATTCGCTTCCCTATCTTGCTTTCCTGATTAATATAATTTGCAATCTTTTAAATCGCCTGTCAATCATTATCTTGCTCTTCATCTTTTCTCTTCCAGTAAATTCTGACTCTTATAGTGGTTGCTTGCAGCCTTGTTGGAGGCGAAGATGTTTAAAAAAAAAATATATATATATATATATATTATATATATATATATATATTATATATATATATATATATATATATATATTATATATATATATATATATATATATATATATATATATATATATATATATATATATATATATATATATATATATATATATATATATATATATATATTTTTCTATCTCCTTTGCAATTAAACTGCAGGGAATTCTCACCATCAGTCAGGACCAGAACTAATTTGCTTTTCTTTTTCTTCATCAAACATATTTAGATCTAGATTTTAAATGCTATCTAATATGTGTGAAAGCAAATAAAATCTATAATAGTTTTAAATAATATCTTTACCAACAACAGTTTTAATTTAATTGCAAAACTTTTCATGATACTTTCAGTGTTTGATTTAAAGTTATCAAAACTAGGACTGTTTAGGATTATGAGCAACTAAGAATAAGATCCTTAAGTTAAGGTTTTGTTTAATTGCATTTAAACGACATTGTAGTATTTTTCATTGTTATTACTTTTTTATTCTTATTCATTCCCAACAAGGCCGCAAGCAGCCACTAATTGTTTGGAGTTTTTAGAACTTGTCTAGAAGAGGAAGGGAATTTTTAGAAGAACCAGCCCAAATATGACAATAGTATTCCATACAGGAGCGTGTAAAAAATTCGTAGAGGTAGATAACAGAGTCAGGATTAAGAAAGTGGCAAGTAAAATAAAGAGAAGCAACCTTAGCAGATGCTATTCTAGCAATTGATTTTTTTGAATTGATGCTGTTCTAGCAATTGATTGTTTTCCATGAAAGGTCAGTAGTGAACAATAATTCTTATCAAGACACCATCACTTTACTCAACCTAAAGTCTTAACGCAAGGGAGTTTTTGCTGGATGGACCTTATTACAAAAGCAAAAAAAGAATTTTAGAGGAAAAAATATTATTCAGTAATAATAAATTAAGTATGTATAAAATTATAATTTTTAACAATCAAAATGGTTTTTATTTAACATTATTCTTATTTAAATACTTAAAAAATTATAGAGTTAAAAAAAAACAAATTTAGCATTCCTAACACTAATGTATAATTTCATTGGCAGTCATTTAGTATGATTTGATTAGCTGACAAGTTAAGGCCATCACATTTACTTTGATTGGCGGTCATTAATTATAATTTGATTAAATTTCAAGTTCAAGTCATCAAGTGTAATTTAACTGGATATTAAGTATACTAGATTTCAAAAGTTTTCACTTGTTTTTTAAATTCTATTTTAAAATTCGTGTTTTTTTTTTTTTAAATTCTAGTTGCTACCAATTGAATTTTATATAATTGTAAATGTTTTTATTACAGATGGTGATCAAAATGGCGGCGTTTAAAAAAATCCTTTTTTAATGTTGAGTTTTCTTTTTATTTTTATGTTGTTTCGTACTTCTTTTTTTTTTTTTTTTTTTTTTTTTATTTAAGTTTTATTTATTTTTATTCTTTATTTTTTTAATTTTATACTTAGTTTTATTTAATGATAATGACAATAAAAAGTTGAAGAGATTGCAAAATATTTGTTACAAATCGCTAACATCTTTATTTACCACTTTTAGTGTAGTATTGGGTTCATCTCTAATGTGTTTAAGTTGTTTTTTTAAAGTTTTTCCCCCTTTTTTTTTTAATTCTTCTTTAATCTTAATTGAATTGGTTAAATTTTTTTGTTTGTTTTTGTTGCTATATTTAAAAATAATACATTGCACAAAGTGAAAATTAGTCAAATAATGTATATCTTGCACTGATTTTTTTATTTCTCTACCTCATCTCTACTTTATTTATTACTCTACCTCTTAATTTTTTATTACTCTACCTCACCTCTACTTTATATCTGCCTTATTGTAATTAAAGAATTTTTATAAGTTTTAAATGTGGTTTGTACAGCTACGTCATTTGTGTTTTTCATTTAGTATTTTAAAAACTAAACTAAAAAAATAAAAAAATTTCTATTTTTTAGTTTTTTAAATAAAGTATTTTGTACAGTTTTTTCTACTATTATAACGTTGTAAAAGTTCGTAATTTGTATAAATGAATAAAAAATTTTTTGTAGCATTTTTTTTTTCTTTATCTATATTCCCACGAAACGGCTTTATTTGCGCCGGGCTATTCTCCGGTACTTGTTACATATGAGCCGAATGAATATTAAATACCCAAGCATTAGTATTGTATTAACGAATACCGTTTGAAAATGATTAGTCGGACTTATTAAGTAATACCCAAATTTAGACTTGAAAGTTTTGATAAAATAGTTTTCAGATTAATCATTTTATACTTGAAAAAGAAATAAAATAATTGGGCCTAATGGTATAAATAAAACATCGTAAATGGCGTTTTTGCTGTGCATAAAGATGTGTTTTAAAATGTATTTAAAGCATATTTTACTCTAGGATAATTTATAAGTAGTTGGAAAGTAGTAAAAAGAATCTTTACAGCAGGTGAACTTACAAAACAAACTATCATTCCACCTCTGTTCTACCTGTCTTCTCAAATGTATTAAAAATAAATAATGTATAACTAAGGGTATTTCGTAGTAACAAAAAGTAGTAACGAAATATTTTTCTCACCATAAATGTTCTTAGTTACCATAAGAAATGTGCTTACAACCCAGTTAACGCATGAGATCAATATGATATTGATATAATATCAAAAATTTCTCATGATGCAATATCAAATAATTATCTCGATATGATATCATATAAATGTCATGACCAGGGGTGTGGAGTCGTAAAAAAAAAGTAACGACTCCGACTCCCACTTAAGTTGTTAAAATTTTTTGAGTACAACTCAAACTCCAAAGCAAAATTTTTGAAAAATTCTTTGAATTCTTAAAAAATATTGCGCGATAAGTTGAAATTTTCTTTTGACAAATTTATACAACGTTCTTTGAAGTTTAGTATGAACATAAGGTTAATTGAATGTTTTGTACATACACGTGCAATACCAAGAAATATTACTATCGGAGTCGAAGTCGCGATATTTTTTAGCGACTTCGACTCCGCTAAAATTGTCGCAACTCCGACTATGGTTGTGATATCACCATGAGATCATAATGAGATTACAACTTGATATCGAACCATAAGAACCTTTTGATATCTAAATTTTTTTATTTATTTTTTTTTAAGCAAAGAGTTTTTTCATATATTAAAATTTACAATGAAATAAATCGTGTTAATAAATAAGAGAACTGGAGCAAGCAGAAGACATAAACTGTCTGATCATTAAACCCCGTCATAAAATTTACATTAAAAAATCGTCAGTTAATATAAAAAATGAAGAGTAGCTAAGTACATAACAAGAATTTTAAATTCGTTAGTTACAATATAACTAATAACATAATATAAATATTAGTGTTGAAGTATAACGCATTATATCAAAGATTAACAATAATTTAAAAGTATTAAAGTTTTTCAACAAAAAATTAAATTAGATTAAAATTGCAACATTTAGTTTTAAATTAGTTTTTGGAACAATAAAGTTATTAATTAAAAATTTAGTACAATACTTTTGCGAGATTTCACTAAAGTAAGACTGAAATACGATAGGAGAGAGTTCATGTTTAGTTTTAAACATGAAATGTAGAACTTGGTGTATAGACACTTAAAACACCGAGCTTCCTTAAATAAGGTTCACATTGAAAAGTTCGGTGGGCACCAAATATAATCCTGCATGCATGTTTGCTTGCTATGAAGTTTTTTCAACTTACTATAGTTAGTACTACCCCCATACAATATTGCAGTAAGAGATAAAACTATGAATAAATGAAAAGTATATTTTTCTTAGATAAGAGGTGTCAATACACATCAACTTTTTTTTAATCCGTGGTTATCGAAACAATCATAAAAGAAAAACGAATAAAGAACCTTAACAATAATACATTATATATTTGTACTTATAAGTTTTAAAGTTAATTTTAAAAATAATGGAAATTACATTAAAAAATATCGAGAAGTTAATTACAAACAAACTCGAAGAACAAAAAAAGAGTATTTTAAAAGAAACAGAACGCCTGTTAAAAGATCAAGAGAAAAACTTTACTGATATAATTAGTGCTAATTTAAAAATACTCACTAATCGGTTAGACAAAATTGAAAAAGAAGTAGATGTAAACAAATCCAAAGTCTTAAGCATAGAAAACGACCTTCGCGATTTTAAAGAAAGTCTTCCAAGAAACAACTATTATGAAAAAAATAAATAAGATCACGAAGCGTTACGAAAAGGAGATAAACAACTTAAATAAGAAGACACTAGATTTGGAGAATCGATCTCGAAGAAACAACCTAAGATTAGATGGAATATTTGAAAAGCCAAACGAAAATTGGAATGAGTGCGAAAATGCAGTAAAGGAAATGTTTAAAAAACAACTAAAAATTAGTAATGAAATTATCATAGAAAGAGCTCATAGAATAGGCCAACCTAAAGAAGATAAGAAACCAAGAACGATTGTCCTAAAGTTATTAAATTTTCAAGACAAAACAAAAATACTTAACGCTACAAAAAACTTGCGAGGAACTGGGATATATGTTAATGAGGATTTCGCTAAAGAAACGATGGAAAGCCGAAGGATGTTGTGGGAAGAGGTCAAAAAGTTGCGACTTGAAGGTAAGTATGCAGTTATAAAGTATGACAAAATTGTTTCTAGAGAATTTCGAAAGTAAATGCGCTCATTCTTAATAAGAACTCCTTGTTAATTTATTTGTGATAATTAATCATGGCTTTAATAAGTGACTTTGAAACTCTTGTCTTCAATTTTTTTGAAACAAAATTTTTTTCACTACACGAAAACTCCGACCCAGATATTAATTATTTCCATGATACAAAAATAGAATGTTCTTACTACTATCCAAATGAATTAAAAGGAATTCTATTTAAGAATGTTAACAATGATCAAATTAGAATTCTGCATGTAAATATCAGAAGCATTAATTGTAATTTTGAAAAATTCCAAAATTTACTCGAGGAAACTAAGTACTTTTTTAATATTATTTGCTTAACTGAAACTTGGGCAACCTCAAACGACATAAAAAAAAATTTTAATTTTTATCTTTCTCATTTTGAAATGATCTCTCTCGAAAGACAAATAAATAAGCGCGGTGGTGGAGTTCTAATTTACATTCATAAAGATATAAAGCATTGTTGTAGAAATGATCTTAGTGTTTCTGACGGCGATGGAGAAATATTAACAATTGAGATTATTAATGAACGAACAAAAAATATTTTAGTTAGCTGTTGTTATCGACCGCCAGATGGCGTGAGCGAGAACTTGAGCATGTTTTTACAGCAAAATGTTATTGCAAAAGGTAACAACGAAAAGAAAAAAAACTTTCTTGTTGGTGATTTTAATATGAATTGTTTTGTCTACAATAACGATAACAAAGTTAAAAATTTTTATGATACAATTTTTGAATCTGGAGCAATCCCTTTAATAAATCGCCCAACAAGAATAACAAAAAATTCAGCAACTTTGCTGGATAATATCATTACCACAGACTTATTCAACAATGATATAAAATTGGGTATCTTAAAAACGGATATTTCGGACCACTTTCCTATTTTTCTAACTATAAACACCGACCAACTGCCTAAACAAAAATTAAATAAAATTGTAAAAAAACGTTTTTATACATCATCAAACATTGAGGCCTTTAAAAATCAGCTCTCATTATTACATTGGAAACACTTAAATTTTAATGAAAATGCAAACAACCTTTATGAAAAATTCTATGAAACTTTTATCTCTGTTTACGAGTCTAATTTTCCAATTGTTACAATTACATTAAAAACAAAACACTTTGATAATCCCTGGATTACCAAGGGGTTCAAAAAATCATCCAAAACTAAACAAAGGCTATACATAAAATATCTAAAAACAAAAACACCAGATAGCGAAAAAATTTACAAAGATTACAAAAATCTATTCGAAAAAATCCGAAAAAAATTGAAAAAAAATTACTATTCAAAATTAATTAATAAAGCTAAAAATGACTCAAAACGCACTTGGCAAATATTAAAAGAAATTACAGGAAAACAAAAAACATGCTCAAGCTCTTTGCCACAAATGCCTAAAGTCGATAACAATAGCTTGCATGAGCAACAAATAATAGCTCATGAATTCAATAAATATTTTACTGAAATTGGATCAATCTTATCAAGTAAAATACAAAAAACTCAGACCTCATTTTATGATTTTTTGTTACCTTTTGATAAAAATATTTCCTCTGAAGAATTATCTGCTGAACTATCATTTGATGAGTTTGAGAAAGCTTTTAAATCTTTAAAAAAAAATAAAGCACCTGGTGCAGATGAAATAAACGGAAACATTGTTATAGATTGCTATGAACAATTAAAAAATATTCTTTTCAAAATTTTCAGAGCATCTATTCATCAAGGTATTTTTCCTGAACGTTTAAAACTTGCCAGAGTTACCCCTCTCCATAAAGAAGGCGACAGATCCAATATCAATAATTATCGCCCTATCTCTGTTCTTTCTATATTTTCTAAAATTTTAGAAAGAATTATTTTCAATAGAGTATACAATTATTTTAATTACAACAATTTATTATATAACAATCAGTATGGTTTCAAAAAAGGGAGCTCAACTGAACATGCCATCATTCAATTTATACATAACATCTCTAAATCTTTTGAAAAATCTCAATACACACTAGGTGTCTTTATTGACCTATCAAAAGCTTTTGATACGGTCGATCACCACATCTTAATCCAAAAAATTAAATATTATGGTTTAAACAATAAAATTTTAAAATGGTTTGAAAGCTATTTAACAAATCGAAAGCAACTTGTGTATAGTAATGATGGTTATCAAAGTGAACCCCTGAGCATAACTTGTGGTGTTCCACAAGGCTCTATTCTCGGACCACTACTATTTTAAATCTATGTAAACGATTTAAACAAAGCTTCCAAATTGAAAAGTATAATGTTCGCTGATGATACTAATCTTTTCTTATCCCATACTGATATTTATGAACTCTTTTCAACTACAAACAAAGAACTCAAACACATTTCGAACTGGTTCAAAGCTAATAAATTAACTT